ACGTTTCCTGATCGTTGCGACATTAAGGTACATTTTCGTCTGTAAAACCTTGTATCTCTCATATACGGATGGAAATGCAAGTAATTTTACTACGTGGGTGAATAAGGACGACTTGTGAATTATTACACCCCAATATTTGACGTAGTTTTTGAATTTTTATTTTAAAGCTTCTTTTTCTTCTGCGTTCGTTCTGTCGCCGAAGGCTCTATTATAACCTCACGGTTCAACAGGATTTCTGCGACTTGAGTCCGGGCGATTCTCGTCCGAATGGTGGCAGTTTGTGTCACCGGGTGTTTTATCAGTCTGTGTGTGGTCCTGGTGGGGTTTAACGTCAACCAGTCAGTCCTCGGGACGACTGTTTATGATGCCGCATTAAAAGCACTGTGTGTTCTCATGTCACACACATCAGAAACTTCGTTGCGTCACGAATTTATGATATTTCTGGAATCCTATTTGACATCCCGACTTCAAACCCACATGTAGAATCTTCCTTCCTCTTCAGCATTCCGAGCTTCTGAAGTTCATTGTGGCAAATACCCCATCATCTCTGTCATTAAAAATTTCTCTCCTGGTGATGACATCAAGTGTTTGTAGGTCCGCAGTTGTTAACTGCCATTCTCTTTTTATGTCCCAACCACTTACCTATATTTGCCCTTATTATGCCAGTAATTAGTGGTGACTCCGATTATAAATTTCATTGTTGCTTCTCACTTAGATGTACAATAGGAAAATAACTAATTTACACTCTCCAGTCCGAATTATTTATTTCCTATTTCTTGTTCTTATTATTTCATCCCACTGTTATCAGGTTGTAGCCGAGTGTTGTTGTTTTCGGTGTTTGTCTTATGGTCCTTGGGCTACTTGAGTGATGGTTTTATTCATCTTTTTTTGTGGAATTCTACTATGTCAACTATCCATGTCTTTCTTAGTCTTCCTGTCGCCTTTCGCTTAGATGGTCTGCTTTAGGTCTCGTACAGTCGGGCCTGGCTGCACTCTTATTAGGGTGACCACTTCATTCCGTGCTCTCCGTGTAACTCCGACACTGTTTTGTTCCAACCTGTTCTTTGATGCAGGAGTTCTTAACCTGTGGGTCGCGACCTTTTTCTTTGGGTTGAACGATTCTTTCACAGGGGTCGCCAAAGACTATCACAAACCACATATTCATTGAATGTTAAATTAAGAATCGACATCACAGCACTCTGGACACTCCCATAAGTGCTTAGTCCCCATCTTCAGCAGCAAGGAAACAGTTCCAGTTCCAATGGTACCAGTAACCGTCTGATTGTATATCTGCCTCATCCTTATCTTGAGCGTTGAGCGTCAACCAGATCCCCTGGTAACTCCTCGCCATTCTCTTTAGACGGTAATGATCTATCTGCGTCTCCGCACTATTCACTCGCTCTTAAAGGGCATTCACAATATCTAACATGTCAAATATCAATTCACCATCAAGTGGTGCAGAGCCAGCCAGTATATCTGCCTGCTCATTTCCCAACACACCGGCATAACCTGGAGAAAATATCCACAGAATGCCAGCTACCCGGGACCTCTGAAGAGATGCTTGCAACTCTGCACGAAGCATGCCTGTTTTCCCCTTTCTCAACATGCTCTGTGCAGTACCATCGGTAGTAATAGATGGCCCTGCTCTGTGAGTCAGTTACAATCATGGCATGTTTGTACAACTGATTATCAAGCCAGCGGAAGGCAACAGAGACTACCTCCACATCCATTCTCAAATTAGACGTTGTGATAGCATATGCAAGGCTTTGCTGCACTAGGCGACGTACATTCGCCTTTGCTGTGAAACCCTATGTACTTCGTTTGTCCCTCAACACAGAGCCATCTGTATAGATAATCACATCACCTGGGCCGGAATTGTCTTGAATCATTTGTTAAACTTCTGATTCTACAGCACCAGCTGGCCAGTCTCTGCACTCACGACCTAACATGGTAAGAACTCTACACAAGTCTGAAACTTGTTCGGACACCTTGACCCACTCCTCTCCTCGCTCAAAATTATCAAGCCTGCACACATATCTGGTTGTGTCTTCAGCTTGCATCATCCAAGACCTTCCTCTTTTCAGTCTTTGACCCTTAGCTCTACCCAGGGCTTCATGCAGGAGGTGCTTGTTGTCTGCAGCTACTCTGAGATATGACTTGCCTGCAGAACATTGAGCCTATCTGCAATAGTTGGCAGTGCAAGTGACATATTCATTGAATGTATGAAACAGCATTGAACATAAGTGTATGGATGGGGGTCGCCACGAAATGACAATCTTTATTAAAGGGTGGCGGCATTAGGAAGGTTGAGAACCACTGCTCTATGCTTTAATATTCATGATCATGTCCCTTTCTGTGTTTGTGTGTGATCTTTCAGAGACAGCGAATTTCCCATGTAGAGGTATCTTATGTCCATGTGGTTTACTCGTGGTCCATGTTTGGCACTGATAGTCAAAAGTGGTGAATGTGCTATTATTGATGTGTTGTTTTACTGAAAGGGAAACATTAATTTGTCTTTTAGTTATGGAATATTTCCTTCGGTGTTTGATTTTATTCCTCGTCTGAGATTTTTTTTTTTTTTAGCATAATTTTTTTCCAATTTATAATGCCATACGTTCCCCTTTATAACTAGTGTGTGTGTCTGTGTGTGTGTGAGAGAGTATCCAAGGTCGAGCAGACGTGTGTGTGTATGCGTTAGTGTGTGTGTGTGTGTGCGCGCGCGCGTGTGTGTAAGTGAGAGTGTGTGTCCTAATTTGCAGCCTAATTGTTAAGGTTTATTTTGCGTCCCGTAGCGTTGAGTTGACTCAAGAACTGACATCACAGCACTCGGGGCATTCCCATGCGTGCTCCCTCCTTATCTTAAGCAGCCAGCGTAGAGTTCCAATACTGATGTTACCTGTCACAATCTTTTTATATGTCCGTCTTGCCTTTCCTCTGAGTAAGCCGGTCAGATCCTCTGGTTACACCCAGGTGCCTCATTCTCTCCAGGCCATAATAATCTTGTTTCTCTACTGATTCCGTTGCTTGTTCCCAAAGGGCCTTGACCACATCTGCTTTGTCATGTATCAATTCCCCCCGTGTGGTGCAGATCCAGCCAATCTGTCTGCCTGTTCATTACCTACGAAGCCGGTATAGCCTGGAGAAAAGACCCAAAGTATGCTCACTATCCGTGACATTTCCCTGAAGCTTTCCACTCTGCTCGAAGCATCCATGTCGTCACCTTTCCCCGCATGCCTTTAGAGTCTGTTACAATTACGACATGTGGATGCATCTTGTCCTCTAGCCATCGGAGAGCTGCAGTTACAGAATCCCGTAATTTTTTGTTACAAGTAGTCAGTCAAATAATAACTATAATATTGACATTTCTCATGTAATATACCTTTATAATAATAACTTTATATAACATGCCGTATACATTTTTAGAAAAAAAAGTATTGATTTCAACTGTCATGGACTGAGAAGCTGTCGATAGACAGTTCACAGTGTACAAACAGAAAGCTTTGTACGCTCCGCAAGATCTCTATAGTGTGTGTATTTCTGTTATGTCGTGCATCGTGTCAACTGAAAGCTATTGTAAGGCTTGGACTTCTGCGTGAGTTACTATTGCTGCACAAATGGTAGGGAAATGCTGAAAGGTCTCGAGACAGTTAGATTGAATGTGTAAGAAGAACGTTGCATTTACACTGGCAACACAGTAAACAAACAACTGCCCACTGTAGATTCCTATAATGGTGCATCTGTAAATTATAAATCATAAGGACATGTGAAATCTAAGCCCACATGCAAAAATTCGTGTTGAACAATAGGAGAGTTTTCTTCAAATGTGAGAACACGACTTTTGAAACGCACTATAGTATTCTTTATTAAATGTTCAGCTAGAGAAGCACACTCATGATCAGTGCTGGATTCAGGCACATTGTAACTAAGCAACACCTTAGGACCTCACATTCTGCAGTGGCCTCCAAAATGTTGTTGTTAATCGGTTTCACAAATGCAGTTTTCTCTCTCTCTCTCCCCCTATATATATATATATATATATATATATATATATATATATATATATATATATATATATATATATATATATATATATAATATTTTGCAGTTTTTAAAATATTAGTTTAAATATAGAAGCTACAACAGCCAAGGTTAAGCATACTGCGAACTTGGGGTTGGAAAAACGGTTTGGAATACTTTGAAAATCAAGAGATTTCAGGCCATCGCTGAGATTCAGTGTGTTGATTTGTATCGTGGTATGGGGCGTCGCAGGTCGACCCAGCCTTAAATGGGTACCAGGATGTATGTCCTGAGAAAGTAAAGACGGCCGGCGTAATGCTGACCACATTACCAACCTAGTGCCGATTGGTCAGTAAAATATGGGTGCTCTTCCTATATGCCCGATGCGCCTAATGGGTAAAAATTGATCTTTACTTTACTTTACTGAGATTCAAGAAAACAGCACGACAACTGCTAGTAGAGTTTCAAAGGGCGCGCGCGCAGACATAAACACAAGAGTTATAGTACTTGTTTAAGTATGTTTGTGCATCTACATTCAGTCTTGTAGACAAATATGCATCATTTTTACAACTGTTCCTTACACACAAGGCTTTAAATACCTTTACGATCACCTACCTATAGAGTGCTCTCGATGATACTCGATGTTTGATAATAAATCTAGAAGTGACAATAAGATTTTTGAAGCCCACTAGTGATGTCACTTGCTGTTAGGCATTACTAAAGTCTGTGGTTGAAAAGATACGTTTTCAAGTAACAGAGCAATAGTGATGTCCGTTTGCTGTGGGCATTGCTGGAGTCTGTAGTTGAAAAGATACAAGTTATCAAGTAACAGACCACTAGGGATGTCTTTTGCTGTAGGCATTACTAAAGTCTGTGGGTGTTAAGATATTTTCTCATCAGGTATTGAAATCAGTGGCGAGAATGTTCTGAGAACCGGAAGTCTGCTAAAGCTAACTTGCAATGCCAGTTTGGCAGACGTTGCCATGGAATCCATTGTCTGGATCAAAGGTAAGCTGAAAGAGTGAAATTGTTTATTATTTTGTTGTTCTTATGTTACTAAAAACTTTTTGGTATGGGTTGAACATTTTCTCCTCCTCATCCTCTTTCTTCTTCTTTTTCTATTTCTTCTTCTTCTTCTTCTTCTTCTTCTTCTTCTTCTTCTTCTTCTTCTTCTTCTTCTTCTTCTTCTTCTTCTTCTTCTTCTTCTTCTTCTTCTTCTTCTTCTTCTTCTTCTTCTTCTTCTTTCTTCTTCTTCTTCTTCTTCTTCTTCTTCTTCTTCTTCTTCTTCTTCTTCTTCTTCTTCTTCTTCTTCTTCTTCTTCTTCTTCTTCTTCTTCTTCTTCTTCTTCTTCTTCTTCTTCTTCTTCTTCTTCGTACTTGGGGTATACTGGATAACCCTAACATGACATAACTATTTTACGTGTCTGAGCGTGGTAGACGGGATTCCCATCCAGGTTTTACATAATATCGCTATAAATGAACATTTAAATTATTGCTTCTGTTTCAACGACATTGTGATTATTCCAGATCTATGTCTACTGTGTTAGTATTAGCTTAGGATAAAAAAAATAGTTTCAGTAACAATTACGTGTGCTATAAAGAGCTAATGCCGCAGATTCCACTAATATATCGCCATTTGCGGCAAAACTATCTGTACTTTTTAATACTCTAAGGTCAGGACGGAGTACTTGACAGGATTCATTATTCTGAATCTATGCACATCACTGTTGACATTTGCTCTAAGGTAGCTGGAGGCGGTCTTCATCAATCTAAACTATTCGGTCCCAGAAGTGCGTTTAACGGCAAAGGAGTTATACAAACAATATAATAGGAACTCCACATGGAAGCATGCCCAGCAGTGGTTCACCGATCACCAGTAGAAAGATGCTTCGTAGACAATTGCTTCGGCCCATTACTTCTTATACAATCTCGGAAGGTGGGTCGACCTGTGTCATGAAATCCGACCTCGATCTTTCCCTGTTGCACTTAATCGGACTCTCGGACAGGGACAAGACAACATGGTGATTTTGAACAGGTATTGGGAGATTTGGTGTTATATTTGTCGCTGCGGTGGCAAAATAGCCATATACCATCACGACCAGGGTGACAAGCTTACGTTCGGTTCATCGGACAGGTGTTAGACATAAAAGTAACTGCAACAAGAAAAGACAACATTGGCGAC